TGGACCATAGAGAACTAGACCTAGACAAAATAAACTACAACTGAACCGTAGAAACTACAAGTCAACCATCAAAACTACAACACGACTATTGAAACTACAATTGATGGACCATAGAAACTACAACTAGACAAAATGGTCAAGTCAAATTTATTTGTATAGCTGCTATACAAATAAATTTGACTTGACTATTTACTGCTATACTATAGCACATTTAAAACAGGAAGTGTTCCCAAATAAACTACAACTGGACCATCAAAAACTACAATAGGACTATTGAAACTGCAATTGGACCATAAATACTACAACTAGACTATAGCAATCACACCTGGACCATAGAAAATGCAAATGGACTATAGAAACTACAACTGGACCATAGAATCCACACTTGGACCATATAAACTACAACTGGACTATAGAAACTACAACTGGACCAGATACAACTGGACCATAGGATCCACACCTGGACCATATAAACTACAACTGGACTATAGAAACTACAACTGGACCATAGGATCCACACTTGGACCATATAAACTACAACTGGACTATAGAAACTACAACTGGACTATAGAAACTACAACTGGACCAGATACAACTGGACCATAGGATCCACACTTGGACCATATAAACTACAACTGGACCATAGAAACTACAACTTGACCAGATACAAATGGACCATAGAATCCACACTTGGACCATATAAACTACAACTGGACTATAGAAACTACAACTTGACCAGATACAAATGGACCATAGAATCCACACTTGGACCATATAAACTACAACTGGACTATAGAAACTACAACTTGACCAGATACAAATGGACCATAGAATCCACACTTGGACCATATAAACTACAACTGGACTATAGAAACTACAACTGGACCAGATACAAATGGACCATAGAATCCACACTTGGACCATATAAACTACAACTGGACTATAGAAACTACAATTGGACCAGATACAACTGGACCATAGAATCCACACTTGGACCATATAAACTACAACTGGACTATAGAAACTACAACTTGACCAGATACAACTGGACCATAGAATCCACATTTAGACCATATAAACTACAACTGGACTATAGAAACTACAACTGGACCATAGAAAATATACATATATCATAGAAA